CTGTGTAATATAACAAAATAAACGGTATTAACAAGCAACAAACAGTGCAAACAATGCAAAAAGCAGTATAAACAGGCAGTAAACAATGCAGACAGACAAAGGAATGCTCATTGTGAATGAGATAAATAGGAATAAAAATAAGAGTACTTAAAACAGAGACTTGTATGGATCTGTATAATCTGTACAAGATATATTTACAGGTATTGCACTGAGAGTTATTGTCCAGTCATACTGTCGTGGGTCAACTGTTCATCACAGTGACAGCCCGGGGAAAGAAACTGTCCTTGTGCCTGGTTGTCTTGGCGTACAGTGAATGAGGGTAAGATACTGTGAATAGGTGCCAAAATCCAGATGAAGAGACAAGACCTGAATAGAAGAGTGGAGAATAACAAAGCACCAACACCTGCCTTCAAGTTCACTTCATGCTAAGTGTTTAAGCCTTATCTGCAAAAGTGATCTACAGCTGAACTAATGTCAGTGTTTATGTATTTAAACCCCCCTCCCCTAGGCCATTGCTAACACTAATCATAACCTTACACTTGCTCTTGCTGGGTGTGGATGTTAAGAGGTTTGAAAACAAATACTGCTTACAAGTATTTTCATATTCATCATTACATTTGAACATTCCCACCCAGGGCAAGAACACTCTGGATCATGTTTACAGTAACATACGTGGTGCATACAGGGCTGCACCCCGCCCCCACCTTGAACGCTCGGACCACATTTCTTTGTTCCTGTATCCAGCTTACAAACAAAGACTGAAAGAAACAAACCCTGTCACCAAACAAATTAAACTCTGGACCCCAGAGACTGAAGGCATCCTGCAGGACTGCTTCGCCCAAACAGACTGGGATGTGTTTAAAGCTGCATTCACCTCAGAGGACTTTTCTGTCAGTGTACAGGACTATGCTGAGTATGTGACCGGTTACATTAGTACCTGTATCGACAACATTGTGCCCACCACACAAGTCAGGAGGTTTCCAGAAGAACCAGAAGCCCTGGATAAACAGTCAGGTACACCACATGCTGCGTGCTCGCTCTCATGCATTCAGATCAAGCGATGAGACGGAGTACAAAGCTGCAAAGTACAGACAGCGGCCAAGAGGCAGTACAGAGAGAAGCTGAATAGCTTCTATTCTACTGCTGACTCCAGACGGATGTGGCAAGGCCTGCAGCACGTCACAGACTACAGGACCACCACCAGCATCATAAGCTCCACAGACAGCCTGTCGGATGACCTCAACACCTTCTACACCCGCTTTGAGACCTCCAGCCCCAGCACGGAGAGGGGGC